ACCGCAATGCTTTGTATCTGCTGGCTTATTCGCTTGAGATCTGATCCATAGATTTAACACAGAAAAAGGCGACGTTTTTCAAAACATATATCATCGGCATTTGCTGTATAAAAACTAGCTATACTCATTTTGAGTACTTCATCAACAGATTAAAGTAGCTAAAACGTAATTCTGGAATTTATTTGAGGTATTAAAAAAATGTCACATCATCATTACTTGCCACAACATAGGTTTGTTAGCACTACTGGCATTTTCATGGTACCAAGTAAAAAAAAAACACGGTACTGCCTTACACGGGTACCCGAAATGACAGAGAAAAAAAGCAACGGATTGGATCTCTTTTCGATTGGATTTGTTATTACAACTGAATATGTATTCTTCTGTAGCATACGTCGTTTCCTTCATGGAATACTTCTCACTGGTATTTGTCAAGTGATCTTTCATCAATTTCAAGTTACCGAGGTCTGTTCGTACAATCGCGGTATCTTAGACGACTTTAACAGGCATCTGTTAAAAGAGTGTAATTCTGTTCTTAATGTGACTAGCTTATGTGTACATGTTAAAACACCAAATTGATTTTACTGAAAGGAACCAATCGTGTAAATCCGTACTTCGTAACGGTACTGGCCACGAGACTCGAATTAGAAATGAGAAAATCTTCCGGCCTGATCGTCTGCATCATTAGACCTCGTTGGCAAACTGCTAGGGCTGACTGAGCAGAAAAAATATCTACTTAGCATTTTGCTACCAATTTTGGCTCATCTATATTCTAAGACAAAAAAAACCCGTGCAGAAAAGAGCTTAAAGGCGATTGAGTTTTAGACCTGACTGGGACGGAAGAGCCTTGCCAATTTCGCGCCCATTTGGCTGTCTCTATAGCTGGTATCCATTTCTCAAGGTTGTTCTTCGCAGATGCCTTATTCTTACGAGGAGTGATCGTCAACAGGCCAGAGTTCATAAGCCTCTCTAGTTTACTGAACTGAAATTGGACGTCAGGATTGCTCCCTTTAGCTGGACTATTTTGGCGTTAAGGCCTCAACCCTTTTTTAGTTTTCATCGTTTGTTCATTTAACAAGCGGTAGCATTACAGCATTTATTATGTAAATGGTACATTTTCACAAGAAAATACCCTTTGTGACCATAATAAATTGTTAGTTAAGAAGCAAAGCTCGTTAGATTGCTGTTTTGTTCGTAGTACCAATTTACCAGATAACCCATTTTTGTTCTGTACTCGAATATCCTTCGGAAGCTAGTACCGCTGTAGATGGAACAATGGGTACGGATATGTTTGATAGTGTCAATTGTTGTCAGTTACTTATACATGTTTTTTTTTCTTTACTTAAAATGAAAATTGCCATTGTTGCTGAAAGGCGATTCATTCAAGCGCCTGCGAAATGATTGATGAAGCTAAAATTTTGAGTCTACACTTTGCGGAAGGGTCATCACTGTTTGCTTGCCGGTACGTCAGAGTACGGTAAGAGAAAAAGAATTGGTATAATGAATGAATGGCTGGGTTTGCTTTTGTTGACTCGGCCTTCTCGTCGGCCGTCGTCACTTTGCGACCTCATATAACTTGAACAGAACTTATATAGCTTATAGAACTTAGAACATGCCGAAGTTGTAGTTTGGCCAGGCTGATTAGCCGCAGAGTAGATCTAGACATTAAGCAGTGGCAGGACTCACAACGCATCTATCAGAACGATCAAGAATACAGTGTGTAGATAAGAAAACGTACGTAATCTTTTTGTGAGTACATTAGTAGCTTAGTGGAAGTAGGTTTTTCTCAATTACACAACGACATTCGGATCTTCCTGTGTATTAAACATCGGGCGCCATTTTTTTCTCATTGTTCATTGTTTCAGCACACGTGAATCTCTGTATTGCACCACCGTACCGTCCTGCTGTTTCCATTGGCTAAAGCTACTGCAGTCAGTTAAGCAGGCGCTTCATTTTTCATCCATGGATTTTGCTAACGCTAGTAACGGTTATAGAAACCGTTCTTTTACTGCGCGGTAATGCTTTGTTCGACTCGAAACGTTGTGCTTCGTATTCTGCTAGGTCGTATAAGTGTAGCTAGACAACATTTTTTGTAGAAAGGGTACACCTGCTCCTAAAAAACAGGATAAGTACGTTTTTGACGTCTATTTAATTTAAGTTTAATAAACTTCAGAACCATAAACACGTTGTCCACGTACGTCTTGCAGTCATGTATATGGTAACGGTTTGCATGCTTATGTACAAGACTACACTTGGCAGTCTGAATACACTTGTCTTATACAAGGGTCATGTAGGTTTAATCGAGATAAGTTCTCCGTGGAACTTTCTGAATTTTTTCACCTACCGGTGCCCTTGGATACAATGGATCGGTGTTTCACAAAACATGAAGTTCAAAAGTGATTTTATACGCGGGCGTCAAACAGTCGATAAAATATGGCTTCAGAAGTCCTTGGTACATACAAACTAGCTGAAAGTCCACGTCCTTTGTTTTCTTATGTAGGATAATTTCTTAACATTCGAGTAATGTTACAAGTTTCGAGTAAACTTGTTCGTCGTATCTGAATAGACGAAGAAACCTTTATGACAACATCTGCGTACGAAAAATCTGTCGCGTACATACACAAAAGAAAGATTTCAGAAGTCGTGCTTTAATGGCGTATCGTCTCCGCATCATGGGCAAACACCGGAACATGGAACAGAGATACCATCGAAATGGTTACGTAAAGGGGGCTGATCCTCGACCCTCGATGATCTAATTTTTCAGAGATACCAACTCTTGCATGAAGTTTTCCTATAGAGAATTTTTGCACACAACATTTTTTTGCCGTTTTCTAGTGGTTGTTGATAAAACAGTAGCCGCTTTAAAACCTGTAAATATTTTTTAGTTTTTCCTGAGAACATTTTCCCTGGTTCATGTTCATTAGTTTTATCAGAATGTCGATTGCTCGTTGTAAAGTACTTTCTATATTTTTATCGACAATTAGACATAGTAGATTTTATTTTTTTAGATTTAAATAATAGTTTTGTGTTAATTGGTGCTTCCGAATTAACTCGAATCGAGCTCTCGTAATAACGGGCACATTTAGTAGTAATAAACGAAAAAAGTTATTTTAATATTTATTTGTTTTTGTTATCACGTGCATAACATAATGTCGCTAAAACAATAAATTTTAGCGACATTATGCTCTATTAAACGATCATCCAATAAAGTGGTTTCTCAATTCCGCTTTTTAGCTTTTAGGTAACAAATTCAAAGGAAATTATCCTTTACCGTAGACTGTATCTGTTATCTAATTACTGTATAGTTTTTTTGAAAATAAAACATCGATTATTTCGGAGTGAAGCAGTTTGATCTGCTAGACGGTTACTTGGATCGAAAAATGTCTGTGTATATGGATCCCTGAATGTAAGTTTTTTGTCTGGATGGTATACGGGTACATATAATGTGAGCTTATGCATTGTTTGAACAAGACAGCTGTCTTTTACATTAATGTTAAGCCTAACATATTAATAATATACTAGTAGTAGTACATTGTTACTCTACTGTAAAGCTTACTTGGGCTTGCTGACGATAGATACGTACGGGGTGCGTATTTTCGCTTCGCTTCTAAATATTGCCTCGAGATATTATAGTTGTCCCATATTCGGTATTTAGTAACTTTCGAAGTAGTTCTGTGTGATCATCGAAATACATTTGTTTATTAACGCGAGCAACCTGCCTCGTGCGTTGTCCTTGATTGTTTTATTCTATACTTTGTGACACTACGATTAATAAGAAAACGTTTCAGGCCCCGCAGTTCATTTAGGAATATCCTACCCGAAGTTATTTGTACTGCTTCGTCTAATATTCTAACTTGCTAAGGAGAAAATACTATTCAGTAATTAATAACTTCAAAAATGTGTGTACGTAACATAACAGCGAAATATTGAACCAAGCGTATCTAAGAATGTAACTTCGGGTATGCGGGACTAGTTCGTAGAGCGAAATGAGTGAAGGTGTGAAACGTCGTACGATGAACAATGATAAGGTAATCGCTGAAGTTCAACCTTGGCAAACGGTTAGCACGCCATATAGTTCATAAACCATTTCGTAGGCCTGTTACAGAAACCCTGACTGAGCTCTACTAGCAGGCAGTAGAGGTCCTGGATCTTATAGCAGAGAAGTAATCCCGGAAACTTAATCATACGAATAATCATAACCAATTTCATTGAAAGAAATCGTTTCGGCCTGTGATACGATTAAGCTAAATTTCGTAGCAATATCGGCTTAAGTCTTTGATGACTACCTTTATAAAAGCGCTATGCGCCTGAATGTTTCCATAACAGGTGCCCTCCTGCTTATTACGTCCTGAAGTCCGTGCACGGCGAACCGAATTGAACGCTACGATTCGACTCATTGGTTCATTTTGGGGATCCATCCCGCACCATTTCAGCTTAGTTTATCTATCCCATGTTTTTAGTTGCAGGGGATGATAAATTTAGGGATCAGTATACGGCGACCTAAACATAAGCATAATTTACTCAGTAAAGCTACACTATCCACTAGAAAAGACGGTACACGATTACGTGCTGTTACACACGACTCGCTTCACATGATTAACTAACCAAAGTTACCCGAAGTACTGTTCTCCCATAGACAGCTATCGGTAATCATTGGCAGCACGTTGATATTGATCGTTGAGATTTTCGAATAACATACGACTTAAAACCTGCACGTTAGTGATGAAATACATATATATTAGCTAAATTTGGTGAGAAAAAAAGAGTTGGGGCCGGGTTATGCAATGGCCGCAAGATCTCCGAGAAAAGCGGCAATGTCGGACCCATAAGTAAGCGCAACAAGATTCCTGTTAACTAGGTTTTATTGCAGCACATGGTGGAGTCTTGAAATGGTCACTGTGGAACTCTATTGATACTATTCCCCGTGTCCATTTCACTTTAATTTTTTTTTTACTAAATCATACATTAGATTTCTAATCCGATGTTCTCCGTTTGCTGTTAAGGTATGGCGAAACCTTTCCAAAAAAACGATAGTCAAGGGAAGTTCATACGCGTTCAAGCTCTTGGTACTCAGACACCTCGTGTGGAAATACCACTGAAATCGGATGGGGTCAGCCCATTGGCAACGTCAACTTCGAAAGAACCAGTCCGGTCTACAGATATCGTGTCAGAGTTATTGGATTTCAAACGATACCATCTTTGTGTAAGGAAGCAGCAGGCTCTCGCCAGGTCCGGAGATAGTACAAGCTTGACCGAACACCTTAGCAAAATTCAGGGTGTCCAACAGCGAGCAGGAAATACTACTAAGGGTAGTAAAAAGGGTAAGCTACTAACAGAAAATAGGGTAACTAAAAAAAGTGGGACCAACCGTGGAGGAAGGGATGAGGAGCGAACAAAGAAAACGAAATTGCAAACTATGAGCATCACGCGTAAAGTGGAACGATCGGCGAGTAGTGGTGATCGGGAAAAGGACAAATCTAGTAAAAAAGTGAAAACTGCAAGGACACATTTTAAAAAAGCTAGAAGCACCAGGTCGAAGAATAGGAGAACCAAATCAAGGTTCTCAAAAAAAACTAAGAGTCTTAATGAGGAAGAGATCAGTCGATCAGGCTCACTGTCAGACGACGATAGTAGTTCAAGCAATAGCGCACCGAATCAGCCGATCACAGTTGGAAAGACTAGTTACGGATCTTCAAGAAATGAAAGGGTCCGAGTCCTTAATAGTCTTAACAGAATTTTCCAAAGTATGCCGCATAAACCCACCCCGCGAGTGGTTCGCAGGAAACGCTAAAAACAATGAGTCGTAAAGGTTCAATCCTGATTGGCGTCAAAGTGGCGAAACGAAAACAAGTTCATGAATGAAGATAACCAGTGGCTTGTACCGAAGGTATGTTGGCACCGAGAATTTGTTGTATCACAGTTATAGACAAAATTAATAAACCGACAATATTTTGGATACAGTGCCTATCACTAGTTTTGCTTCAGGTATTGTGTTCACTGATGCAATACTTCTGCTAGACAGACGGTAGGTAGAATAGCACACGGTGCGTCGAGTAGTAACTTGCGCAAATGTATCTCGATTTTCGAAGCAGAAAACTGGGCGCCTTGAAATTCTGTAATTGATGCTATGGACCGTCAATCAGCGGAAAAGTCTCTCGATTCGAGAGATTCAATGGCAAGAAAACGTGGACAAAAGGCGATTGATTTACAGTGGTTCTTACCTCTAAAAAAAAATGGGGCACTGCTGTCGATGGGCTAAAAATATTTCCTACAGCTGAACTGGGGAAATTCAAAACGTCTAGCTTGAGTACCTTGTCTATCATTTCTCCTTATGCATTTACTGCGGAAAGAGTTAACGAAATTCGCCGCAAAAGACAACTGAAGACAATGTCAGGTGTAAACTATGCGAAAACAAAGGCAGGTTTAGGAAATGCCGGAACTCTTTTAGCAGGCAATGTTGAACGTCGGAGCTGTCGGAGATAGCGAATGATTTATGTCTAGAACTAAATGTACTCGATCGCAGTACTATCTTGGCCCCATTGCACACTGTTCACACTAATACAATTGTCGCTGTTAAACAACAAATCGAGATCTAGAACTTTTATTATTGATACCCTCAGCACAGAGTTTGGGTAATTTTCAGAGTCAAGCGGTTACTGCAGAACCGCGATATGCAAGGCGTCCCCGTAGAACCCTGCGGGCAAGGTCGGGGAATGACTAATCGCTAGTGCGCTCAAGAGAGCCTGTTGAAATGACCGTATCCCGTAACGTTTCACTACGGCGTAGCATAAACCAGCGCTACTAATTAGCGTTCCAACGGCAATAACTAAATGATCAAAGCCATATGTACTTCTCTATACTTGAAAAGCCCTGTACTGTTATCTATGTAAACAAATTCTTCGAAATCGAACAATCTAAACTATTCATTATAATTTTTCCCTTCGTTACCAGAATTCGACATTTGCATTACAATATTATTTTCGGTAAAATTCTACGTCCCTTGTGCGGTGTCACCCTCTGTCCCGCCGTCCTGCTCGTGCTGCACAACTTGGTCCTTATCGATAGCGTTCGATTACTCGTAGTGTACGTTCATCGTCTCTAAGCAATATATATATATTTTCAGTATGCGTGTGATCTGAGTACTTCGTGGTCTCGTTTATGAGAGAGTGCCTCTCTGGCGGTCGCTGAACGTATTCCGAAGATCAATTTATCCCTAAGCATGCTCGTATGCGTACCTCGTTGTTTGCTAACTCATGCATCGACAAAGCGCCTTGACCGTCTGCATCTCTCTGATTCCCCATCTGGAATAAACACCTAGATAAGAAAGACATTTCTGTAGCACTTCCTTTGATATTATTACCTTTTGGATAGTGTTTGTACTAGTGTTTTCACTGAGGCGCAGGGTTGGTCGCCTGGTGGATCCTCACTGCTACCAAGCGTCCAAAAAAATTGTTTAATTATCGTTGCGACCTCCTTCATGGCTCATTAGCTAAGGACTGATTCTTTCCGTCATCTTTGTCTTTATGGATAGTCGTTAGTTTAACTGACTACGCTATGTGAATATACTGGATACTGATAACATAAAAGTGGAATTGTGACTGACACCGAACTGGATGATATCTGCTTGAAATGTAGATCTCGGAGAGCCTTGATGTGTAGATACACAGTTACGGCAAGACAGGCGGCGCAGTGGTTCGAGGGCAGCGTTCGGATCACTGACGATATGAATACGTCGGTGAGCGGACTTTTTGGGACCTGAGTAATCATCCAGGGCGTCGTTGGGGATCGGTGTTCAACAAAGCCCGGCCAAAGAAGCGGGTAGAACAATTTAAACGTCTAGGTTACCATATGATACAAAGAGCGCATTACGACAAACGTTGCGAGTGTGGCTCGCCTTGCGTGAGGGGCACGACTGTGTGAGACGGCTTTAAAAATGCACTTTATGACCGTTTTCTTTTGAAGAAAGCCGGGTCATTCAAGCGCATCCTTTGTCGGTCCAGGAGGTATGGAAAGACGCTCAAACAATTCTAACTGGAGGACTTTACTACGGCTAGCCTCTGTGGAATCGTAGAATCGGCTACTTTTGTGCACTTATCACAGCAGCCAATTCCTGTCAGTTTGAGTGGATCGAGTCTATACGCTAGAGAACCGAACACCCGCTCCCAGTAGTATAAAAGGAACATCTGTTGCTGTTTTGAAAGAGCGTATATCAACCCGCGGTCCTTGGTTCTTAAAGCAAGCCAATACATGATAGCGAACCCCAAGCCTGTTAGCAATGTGAATCTTCAAACTTATAATTCACTTACGCACGGCGTCTGTTAGTTTGAAGCGGCATAGATGCTATCGACCTATTTTGGGGTGCGCTGAGTACGGCAGATGTGGTTCCTTAATCAGACAGCCATGATAAAGCACTGCGCATCTGTCCCGTTTATTTGTAACTAATCTATGCTTGTGGCTTAATTAACGCAACAGTCTGCATTAAGTCTTCCTGATGGAGATCTTCAGGTGTGAGCCACAGCCGCAGGATCCTGCGGTTGATTTGCGGATCGCATCTATAGTGCACGGAAACGGGAAATAACAACAACGAGATATTGTTGGAGCCCAGACAATATAGTCAGTCATCTATAAGGGCAATACATAAACTGTGTAGCTATTGGTGTTTGTGAAGCGTTGCTCACTTCCTCCATTTTCTTCTCGTGCATCGTCACACCTCCTTCACTGCAAGGTGTTCCTGCTGTATCGGTGTGTAATTTCAATAGGATTAATTTCCGAGACGTTGTGGAGCAATTCGTGACATTGCAGCAATGTAACGGGGTGGAGGTTAGACTAATATCTGCTATTAAAGATACCAGTATATTAAGGCTTATTAATTAATTAGTTCTCGGATGAATGGTGGTAATACGAGTGTTACGGAAAGGTTAGACGGTCAGTAAGCCCACTCTCAACAACGACACATTATACATCCAAGAGGGTAATAATCAGCCCTGCCAAAATCAGCCGAGGCTTTAGCATTTCCAACCTGTCATCGGATCATCCAGACGTAAAAAGGCATAGGACGTCTGATGGTGTGCTCCGGACAAGGTGATATGGACATAGTGTGTATGTGTGCAAGCGACTGCGATGTATGGGGGGTTTGCCAACAACGTACGATTGTTTCTATTCCATCGAAAACTAATCTGTGTATCTGCCGCAATAAGCGACCCCATAGGACACAGCAGACAGCTGCAATATACAACTATGATTAAGCAACAAACACGGAGCGAGTGACCTGCCGCCTACAATAAAGCCAGGCCGGAACAATAGCTTCAGAAATAATATGATGGTCACTGACAATTTCCTACTTATCTATTATTACTTGTCATTGTAATGCCTTTGTCGAAGCGTCAAAATAGTCGTCATTTACCGCTGGGTCTCTCAATAAGTATTACAGGTACTGTTCACAAACGCATTATCTGTCATAAGGTTTTTTTGTTTTTTTGTTTTTTTTTTTTACTTATTACAATACGTCACTATGCAATAATTAGCATTTCCGTTTCGAGTTTTACATCCGGTATCGTAGTTGGTTTTCCATCAGGCGAATTGCTAGATTGCTCCCAGCCATCGCCCTACGAAGTCTGACAGTTGCTATCTCCATTATATAAACTTAATAAAACTATCATAAAACACATTCAAGAGGGGCATCATTTCTATGGCGATTTAGCAGCCGCTTCAACCGAATCGAATGCTAATCTATACACTCACTGGCTGGCAGCATTTAGCTGGTGTGCGATTCCCACGCCCCTCGTCCTGCGATCTGTCAGTCTATGTTTACGGCTGGCAGATCCTGTTTTGTTACCGGCGTTTCAAGTTCCTCTGAGCTGACGGTCGCTTCGTCTCGCCTTTCAGCTCCCACTGAGTTTTGGGGCTACGTTGTGCGAAAGAAATTGCGATTAATGTAACTTGACAGTTAAACGATCTATGTTGTTCAGTAATTTAGCCGGGCAGCAAATGCGATGCGATCACCTCAAAAGGACGACTAGATCCACTATGCGGTTTTCTTTTTGTAATCACGTTTCATCCTGCATACGGTTACGGCACTTTCTAGTGTCATGCGCACTTTCCGGGAGACTTATCTCGATGTTTGTGTTTATAGATAGCTGTGCATAAGCGTTTCTTTTTTTTTTTTCTAAAAAAAAACCATGTAGAACCTCGAACGGCGACTTACCAGATCATTTATTTCGTATTCAATTAATTAGAGCGACAACTCGAGAAACTTTGATGTCCGATCGTTCTGATCTACTTATTTATTTATATTGAGTTTCCTAATAATGATGTTAGGGAGCCTCTAGGCGGTAATAATAATGTACTTCTTTACTTGACTTACGTAAAAGCCGTATGTGATCAATGAACAGCTTTTAGAAGGGTCAGCGAGCAAGCACAGTCAGGTTTTACAAACCCTCCTTGACCAGTGTAGTCCCCAATGCACTTCTACATGAATATCCAGATATGCTGCTTAATACATTAATTACCCATTAACAGAAACCGGCATCATTAAATGATCATGACCAACCTTATAGCAAAACGGTCTGCTCTGCCCTGACCCATCACACGCATACTTTATCTTAGAATGTAGAATCAATGAACGCTTTAGAGGAATCGTGTTGGGCAGCTAGCTGAGAGTGAAGTGTAGGTTTGTCAGGTGCGACCCAAAATGAATGTCACCCAGTAGGGCACGAAACAGCCACTAGACGCATCATTTGCTGAAATTTGCTGAGTCACTGCGCGTTCCCTGCTCTCCTTCGTCTGACACAGCGTATCATGTCCTAAAGAAATCAATAATAAGGTTAGTTAAGTAAAAGAGAGCTTTTCGGTTTTTTTCGACGATTACATTTAGGCAAAAAGTTATCCAAGTTGCGTTTATGGGTGACACGATATCTTGGATGAGTGAGGTTGAAGTAAAGACGTAAGGGGCTTCCGACTGCGCTA